CCTATTATAATATTTTTGTTCTTAAAGTTTCTAATCAATTCATCTAGTTCGCTGAATAAAGGTCCTAAGTCTTCCGTTATTGGGCAATAAACACTCACCAAAATTACACTGTTGTTACCTCTTCCAATTTCTATGCAAGTCATTCTTCTGTTACTCCATTGGGTGTAGTATAGCACTGGGATGGAATTGTTGTTGATTATAGCCAAAGTCTTTGGTTTTTCACTCTTATTATATAAGGTTCGGTAAGATACTCTTAGACAGCCCGGTGTGCCTCTCAGGCAATAGGGCTCCTGCACTAAAGCAATATCCATCTTTTCCATTACTTTACATAGTGCAGAAGTCGCCCCTATGGATCTTTGCGTGTTTACTTGTAATACTTTTATCCTTTTATTTTCTTCCTGATTAGTTGTAGCCATAGTCTATCGTAGCTATTATCATTCGTCTTACTTTTTGTATTATGGGGCACTTCTTGTCGCATGCGTTATGATTGGTATCTTTGAGTTTCTCTTTTCTACAATTATAGCAGTCAGCTCTTGCTTTGTTTGGGCAGTGTTTAAATCTGTGATTCTGTCCGCATTGACTACAGACAATATCCTTTTCTGTACAATTTTTCGCTATATGTCCGATTTTACAACACTTATAGCCAGTGATGACATTCGAAATATTTAACAAAGGGTTCGCTAACAGAAAATTTTTCCTTAACAATTTTTTTTTCGCTCAAATGGTGCATCGGAAGGCTCTAGTTTAGTAGTGTTACAGAGTATAATACGTATATTTTAATATTTTTAAAAGAATAAAACCATTGAGAAATGTTACATGTGTTTAACAGGGTTCGGAAAACTTTGAAAATGTTAACAACGGGTTCGGCCGAACCTGTGCGAACCTGCTGAATATCACCACTGCTTATAGCATTGAGTGACATTTATATATTCTTCTATGCCACACTTTGACCAACCAAGATTTATTTTCTTTTTTGTCATCAGTAATTGACGGACTCTTGGGCTTATTTCAGCCACCCAGTTCACTGTTTGTTTCTCCCTACTACCGTACTTGAATTTCAGTTCCACTTCTTTTCTGTATTCATCGATGTCTATATTACTATTTATGATTTCATTTTGTTCAAATAAACATTCTTCTACTTCTTCTTTTGGGGCATCCTTGGCCACTCCATAGATGACAATACGAGGTCTTCTCTTCACTGGCTCTCTGGTTTTCAGGCCAGTCTTTTCTTCAATTTCTTTTCTTAGCTTTTTCTTTTCTTCTTCTGTGTTAACTTCAATCGCCACTCCGCCTCTTTTTAATTTTCGTACCGCCTGGATTCCAACCCCTAGTTGCCTTGGGTTGATATTCTTCTTTAAGCGATCCTTGGTCTTTTCTGGGTCTCCACCCTCCTGTTCTGGCTCCACCAATATAATTTCTTTAGGCTGTTGCTTTGCCTTTTTTGACACTACTTGTGCGTAACTCTGCACTGGCATTGCTGTTGGTGTTGAAAGTACTTTATCCAACTTTTGGTTGATAGAGTCCATCACAGTTCGAAGTGGATCCTCTTCACTGTCTCTTAAGATATCGATGATCTTGTCGATCTTCTCACAGATGAACGTTGTGTGTTTTGTCGTCATCTTGCTAGTATTGTTCGCCATCATATATTCTTGAATTTCATCGCGGATGCTTTCCGCAAGTAGTACTCTCTCTGCTTGGTGAGACACTTCCATCTCCTGGGATGACATCTCGTCATCCGTTTCAGAAACTTTCGGCCTCTTGGCCATAGTCCTTAAAAGGACTCTTTCTAACGTTTTGAACAAGCGCACTTACTGATTGGTTTCACCCACTAGGGGTTACTCACAGGCAGGACCAACTGGGAGGTTCAGTAACTGCTTCCCCTAAGGCCTCGTTAAAGCGCAAAAATAAAATAGCACAATCTAAAGGCACTGAAAAGCCTAAAATAGATGCACAGAACTCACTAATAAACACAAACGAAACAAATTGGGGCACCCTGCCCTACAAAGAAGTATTGCTGCTGCTTCTGTTTTGAATACAAAATTTAGAGATTATGACATCATTTTAGTACAGGAACCATACTGTTATAATAATTCTCTATGCTGTTTCCCAACAAACTGTATTACCCTTAAGGATAATAATAATTATCCATGGGCAGCTACTATTATAATTAGGAAAAATCTGCCTATCTTATTTCATGAAACTTATAATAGTCAATACATCATATGTATGGAACTATTGATAAATAATAATAAAATTATAATTGTTAACATATATTGTCCTCGCAATGAGAATTCTGGTAATATTTTACAATCACTCCAACGTATCATTGATTGTTTTTGCGATGACCATATTGTCATTGCTGATGATATAAACGCGCACTCACCATCATGGGGTGGAGAACAATTAGATGTAAGAGGTAAGGAATTCAATGAATTTTTCCTAGCTAACAATCTTTCTATAGTTAATAACCCATTTTCTCCCCCAACATATCAATCACATAGTGGGGAAACCTGGATTGACGTCACTGTATGCAAAAGTGCCTTACTTCAAAAGATCATTAACTGGCAGGTACTCGAGGATGAATCACTCAGTGATCATAATTATGTTGCTTACAGCATTGAGACAGTCAGCTCTGGTCTGGATGTGTATGACTGCAATCTCAGATATAATACATCTCGTGCAAACTGGTATTCACTTCTAACCTATTTAACCTCTAATCTACAGGAGTATAATTTTGACAATGTTGAATATATTACAAATATAATAAACAAGAATATTGAAACAATAAATAAAGCTTGTGAATTATATATTCCGAAATCAGAAATGAAAAGAAAACCTGTTCCTTGGTGGACTGCACAACTAAGTACTCTTCGTAGAGCTTGTATTAGGAAAAGACGTGCTTATCAGAAATGCCGAAGAGAACCTATGCATACTGCTTTTAAACAAGAATATCTTCATCAACAAAACATATACAAACATGAGCTTAAAAAATCAAAACTACAATGCTGGAAAGAATACTGTAAAAGTGCTTCAAAAAACCCCTGGGGATACATAACTCGGTTATGTACTGATCGTCTTCGCAAGCTTCAATGTCTTACTAGTACTGAAGAAGAAAAGGATCACAATAATGATTTTGTGGGAGAACTAAACAGATTAATGGATTGTTTCTGTATCATCGATAATCCTGCATCCGATAATGAATATCAACACTCAATTCGCATAAATAATTCTTCCAATATCGACAATCCATCAACAATACCATTTCAAACACATGAGATAAACAATGTTTTCCTACGTCTGAAAAATGGCAAAGCTCCAGGGATTGATGGTATGAATGCTACTATAGTATGCAAAATATGGGAGCTAATACCTGAACATATATAGAACAACTGTTCAACGCTTGTTTAAATTATGGAATTTTTCCAAAAGCATGGAAATTGGCTCAAATTGTACCAATTCCTAAACCTAATGTACCAGGAGAATTTCGTCCTATCTCTGTTTTGCCAATGATGGGGAAAACTTTGGAACGTTTAATTGCCAACAGAATTCTTTGGCATATGGAACATCATCAATATCTACATACCGTATTTTTACGAGTATAAGTCGCTGTCGAGTATAAGACGCACCCCTATTTTCAGACAGAAAATTTAGAAAAAACTTTTTTAATGGGAGATTGCATTTTATTCGTTTTTTTATTCTAGAATATGAAGAATGCATTTTATTCGTTATTTTTATTAAAAAGATGCATTTTATTCGTTTTTTTTATTTAAGGATATGACAGATGGGTGAATCGATACCTTTATTAAACTGAAATAATCGTCATTTATTAATGTAAACTCAGAGGTCATGCGATGACAGTCGACAGAACATGGCGGCGATGACTCGTGTGTCGCTATTCTGTTAATCTAGGCACTCTAGCCATTCGGTTGAGGGACCATGTGCTTAATGGATCACTGCACAGGTTTGTCCCTAGAGTGGACCACTACTGTAGATAATTTCACTGTAAAAATGGTTACCTGTCGAGTATAAGACGCACCATGATTTTAAGCTCCAAAAAGTAGTAAAAAAAGTGCGACTTATACTCATAAAAATACGGTAATTCCCAATATGGTTTCAGACCCCAAAAATCTGCTTCTGATGCTATTTATTTTGTAACCTACACAATAATAGATCTATTGAATAAAAACAATAGATTTGTACTCGGGATAAATTTGGATATAAGTAAAGCTTTTGATAGTACGTGGTGGCCGCTAATACTGTTACAACTTAGTTGGAAAAAGTGTCCCTCGAATTTATTTAAAATTCTACATAACTATTTAAAAGAGAGAACAGCAATTATACAACAAGGACATCATACCGTTTTTCGCGATGTAGCAAGAGGTTGTCCCCAGGGTTCTGTCCTTGGTCCTTTACTCTGGATAATAATGTTTGATCTATTCCTCGAACAAAATTTTGTGCAAAACATGATGGTTGCATATGCTGATGACATAATAGTACTAATTGCAGGAAACAGCAGAGCAGAATTAAAAAAGAAAGGAACTACAGTTTTCGAAAAAATATATACGTGGGGAGAAAATCATAAACTAAGATTTAATATAAATAAAACAAATGGCACTGTCTTCAATCTACCTGGACGCCCCAACCTCTTTTTAAGGGTTCCTACAATTAAAATGGGAGGAAAGTCAATACATATTGACAAAATGCTAAAATATCTAGGTGTAATTCTTGACAACCGACTTGCATGGGACAAACACATTGAATTCATTACCAATCGTACAGGTAGAATTTTTCAAGCTATTTCCAGAGTTGCCCGTAATACCTGGGGCCTCACTTTCAAAGCATTAGATACAATATACAACCAACTTATCATCCCCATAATAACATATGCTTGTGGTTCATGGGGATGGGCTTCTTTTAAAATACATCCAAAAAGAAAATTGACTTCTGCACAAAGAAAAGCCACCATCCTCCTAACAAAAGCTTATAGAACTGCCCCAAATATGGCTCTACAAGTACTGGCCAAAAAACCCCCAATTGAATTACATATAGAATATTATAGTCGAATTTTCAACTTAAAATGGGGCAAAGATATATCGACTAACGAATACACTATTCTGGCATCAGATTTAGAAAATCCAACACCATATTGTATGAGTCAACATCCCAGTATCCAACCTATAAATATTGATGAGAATATTTCTTATCAAGATATCATAATCTATACCGATGGTTCAAAAATTGTAAATAAAGTTGGTTGTGCTTTTGTAGTCTTTTCTGACAACATTGAACTATATCATCAAACATTTAAATTGGGGGAATTATCTACAATCTTTCAAGTTGAGATGATTGCAATTCTTGAGGCCTTAGTGTGGACAAACAGAGAATACAGATTCAAAAACATCATCATTATAAGCGATAGTGCATCTGCTCTAGCAACAATTAAAAGCACTAAATTAAATCAAATTTCTACAAAAATTAAAGAACAAATAACAGCTTCAACAAACAATTATAATTTCATGTGGACCAGAGCACATGAAGGTACCTTTGGGAATGAAAGAGCGGACGAATTGGCTAAGTCTGCCACTAATGATCCTAAATTACTGATAATATATAACAAAATTAGCTTACAGACAGCCAAAAAACTATTATGGAATGACGTTTTAAACAAATGGCAACAGAAATGGAATACATACAAAGAAAAGACTATGTACAAGTTCTTCCTGATTATAAAGGACATGTACAAATATGATTGGATACAACCAACACATCTATTAATCTATTATATTAACACAATTCTTTACGGATCATGGGAAATTTGCAAATTACCTAAAAAAATCTCTACCTTAAATACAAATAGATGAATTAAATGACTACAAACCTTTACGGTGCGATATTAAATAAAATTATCAAGAAAAAGTTCCCACAAACGTTTTCGAACCGGTTTAAGGTTCTTCATCGGGTGAAAAAAACGTAAATACGTAAAAAATCATTCGATGGAATAAAAAATTTGAAAGAGATTCGATCAACGAAATGCATGAATCCTGCAGCTGTCGTCATCAATAGGCATGCACATTCTTCCGATATAAAAGTTTTTTATTTATATAGAATTTTTTCCATCATATATAAGCGTTTGCCACGCTAGGGATAGAGACAATTCATCCTTATTGTTAATACTCTTGTTGTCATGGGCCGCTTTATATATACAAATTGCTTTGATCCATCTTAGTTGCTCGGTATGAGGTGTGGTGTGGATGATCCTGGCTTCGTTAAATCTTGGATGGATGTCTGGATCCGTAGCATAACGAGCCAGTGCAGTAGTTACTCTTTCGTGCTGTATGTCAGCCTAGTGTTCTTTTATTCTGACACCTAATGAGCACTTAGTGGAGCCAGTGTATAATAATTCTTCATTACATCAATGATCATTCAATGGGATGACATATACTCCCGATAGCAAGTGATTGTTGGGAGCATCCTTAGCATTATGGAGTATATTACGAGGGTAGTCCCAGAAGTATCCGACCTAACAAAGAAATACAAAAAATTTGGTAAAACATATCTTTATTTTTCAACATAGTTTCCTTTTAGCTCGATACACTTTTTCCAGCAATGTACAATAGCTTTGAACCCCTGTTTATAGTGAGAACTTTCAAGCTTCTCAAAATAGCCATCAACCGCAGACTCCACCTCTTCATTGTTGGCAAATCTTTTATCACCAAGACATTTTTTTAAGTTTAGAAAGAGATAATAATCCAAGGGGGTTAAATCTGGCGAATAGGGTGCGTGAGGAAGCAATTTGAACCTTAACTCATTGATTTTGGCCATCGCAATAACGGATATGTGAACTGGTGCATTGTCTTGATAAAACAACACTTTCTTTTTCGCCAAATGTGGCCGTTTTTTCTTGATTTCATCACTCAAGTGCTGCAATAAGTTCACATAATACTTGCCGTTGATTGTTTTTTCTGGGCGCATCCCAAAAAACTGACGCCATGACCTTGCCAGCAGATGGAACTGTTTTCGCCTTCTTTGGAGTTGATTCTCCCCTTTCAGTCCATTGTTTCGACTGTTCTTTCGTCTCAGGTGTGAAGTGATGGACCCATGTTTCATCCATGGTTATGAATCGACGCAAAAACTCGGCTTTGTTGCTGCGACACATTACCAAAGACTCGATTGAAACATCCTCACGACGCTGTTTTTGTCCCATTGTGAGCAAACGCGGCATCCATCTTGCGCACAGCTTTCTCATGTCCAAGTTTTCAGTTAAAATGCGATGTACAGCACTTTTTGAAATGCTACCATGTCTGCTAGATCTCGCACTTTGGTTGACTGTCATCCAATACCATTTTGTGGATTTTTTCCACCATTTCTGGCATGGTCACCTCACTTGGTCGACCACTACGATGTTCGTCTTGGCAGCTCGTACGGCCTCGTTTAAACTCTGCCACTCAATATTTTATTGTTGTAAACAAGGGAGCAGACTCTCCCAGAGTAGAATCTAGCTCAACTTTAATATTGGTTGGACTGAAACCTTTCAAATTAAAGTATTGTATCACATAACGATGACAAATTTTTCCCATGTTTACAAATTTACTGAGATTGTTCACTATTTATGGCTGCCAAAAAAATACTATACAACGTAACGTCTTCAAACTTCAAACTTAAGCTTTATAAGGTTGATACTTTCGAACACAGTCGTTTTTTTTCCAAACAAGTACCGCCATCTATGTCAGGTCGGGTACTTCTAGGATGACCCTCGTAAATACTGTAGGACATTTCCTGTATGCAATGTTGATGTTTTTCTTATTAGCAATCTCAGAGTACAGCTTTTGTAAAGACGGGTTGTAAGTGACAAGAACTCTGTCTTTAGGATCGTCTTTCTTCTTCCTGCAATGCAGCTTGTGCGGATACTTGTGGATGATGTAGTTTCCTAGATAAGTTACACATAAGGTTGTGATATCCATGGCATTTTGCTATACAGTGGTGCCTCGTATAACGTACGCCTCGAATAATGGATGCTGCAAATAACGGACTTTCTGTTTGACCATTACGTGACTTGAACAACGGACTGGCTTCGAACAACGGACTTTCCGTTCAGCAGTCACATGAGGTGAACAACGGTCTTTCTGTGAACAAGTGCGAATGATGTTTCCAGTCTTTTGCCGTTGCCAATGACAATCTGCTATTTTTATAATATATTAGTTTTATTAGAACATATTATTAGTATTTCTGAAGTACAGAACTCCCGTTGGGATTCGGCTTGCTCCCTTGTTTATTACGTACATCACCTCAGTGCAGGGTATTTACATTTATTCAAGTGTTGTGCAAATCATAGATCCTAAAAAACAGAAAGATGATTTCAATTGAAACAAAGCAAGAAATCATCAGGAGTGAAAGTTGACAGAAACTTCCTTGTCAAAGGAGGAGAGGTTCAGGAGTTTACCAACACTCACTATCCAAACATAGCTGAGGCCAACAGTATCAACGATCTCTACAATGACACCCTTGCCCATCATTTCCGACATGTGTTGAAGAAGAGAGAGAAACAGACCACCTTGGACATGTTTATCAAGAAGCAAGCTGCCAAAAAACAAAGGATGGAACAAGAGCAGTTTACCCTGCAAGCTCCGGTAGCCTCTTCTGAATCTGACTCCGATTAAAAAACAATAAAAAGAGACCTGCTACAATGTATAAAAAGTCTGTATCGGTATGAATATGTGAAGAAAGTGTTCTTCCACCTCCTCACAACATCTGACTACCCGGCATAATTAGTGACTGCTCCATTTTCATTTTTTTTATGGTACAGTACAGTTATTTTATGCTGTGGAACGAATTATATGTTTTAACATGTATTTCTATGGAAAAATGCGTTTCGTATAACGGACGTTTCACTTAACGGACGTGCACCTGGAACGGATTAAGTACGTTGTACGAGGCACCACTGTATTAGATATGGTTTTAAGCTCAGATTTTAGAGCACCACACCACACCTCATACCGAGCAACTAAGATGGATCAAAGCAATTTGTATATATAAAGCGGCCCATGACAATAAGTGTATTAACAATAAGGATGAATTGTCTCTATCCCTAGCGTGGCAAATGCTTATATATGACGGAAAAAATTCTATATAAATGAAAAACTTTTATATCGGAAGAATGTGCATGCCTATTGATGATGACAGCTGCAGGATTCATGCCTTTCATTGATCGAATCTCTTTCAAATTTTGTATTCCATTAAATGATTTTTTACGTATTTATGTTTTTTTCACCTGATGAAGAACCTTAAATTGGTTCGAAAACGTTTGTGGGAACTTTTTCTTGATAATTTTATTTAATATCGCACCGTAAAGGTTTGTAGTTGTTTAATTTTGCTATAACACAGTGTTGTGGAGAAGTTTTACAAATAGATGTTCGATATGTGATGTTGTTGACGGGAGTGAACATTATATATTCATAATAATACACACCTTTAATAATCCAGCCAACAAAAATTAATAATATAATAACGTTTTCAATCGTTTCTTAACGATCTTCTTCAGTTACCATAACATAGAATAAAATCAAACACAATAAAGAACGTAAATACGAAATTAAAATATAAATAACGGAAAACTAGATAAAATAAAGGAAAAATAAAAAGTAATTTGAAAAGATGTTCCTTAACAAATAAAAATAAATAAAGTCATTAATTTTTGTAAAAGGATCGCCATGCAGTAGGTAAAGATTCTGCATCTCTATGGTTGATGCAACCCGTTTTCTCGTGTGCCTTAAAGATTTCTAATTTCTCCAGATATTTCATTGTATGTAAATTTGTCGTAGGTTTAATAATTTCCGCCCGATTCCAATGGACTTGAATGTCATGTTGCGTTGCGTAAGACGATAGCGCGGTGTTGTCAAGTTTCTTATTAATCGTATATTTATGCTCTTTGATATGTTGTTGCAATTTGTGCCTACATAGACAAGATCCAAATTAAAACGCTGATCGTGTAATGGTATAGAATAGATTCCTGATGCAGATTTCGAGTCATAACGCTTCTTATCGTTTCTTAATAGCTTGAAAACTGTAGGATTGTGTTGATATACTACACTGAAATCATTAGCCCTGGCCGTTTCTTTATGTATTTGTCTCAAAAACGGGACATAATTTAAAACCATCTTTTGTCTACGATCTACTGTGGGATGCCGTTGTTTAGTTGTTTGGAAGGTTGTAATAAGATTCTTTATGATTTCCTTTTGGTATCCATGTTGTTCCGCAATCCTTAGAATGTAGTTTAGCTCCGCCATTGTGTCTTTTATACTAGAACAATGTGTAAAAGCCCTTTTTATCCAGGACCTAAAGGCCGCCAATTTGATGTGATGCGGATTGATTGAATTATGCGGAATTAAAGTAGGTTGAAAGCCGGTCCTGATTTCTCCCTGTCTGCAAGCGATGGAAATGTCCAAAAAATTTACAATACTATCACTCTCTTGGTCCACTTGTAGTAATAAACCGTAAGGGTTATTATTGATCCTATCCAAAAATTGTTATAGGTTACGTTTTCGTTGCCACAAGATGAATATATCCTCGACGTATCTGGCATACAAAATGATAAGGTGTTGGAATTTGGGTAGAATTTTGTTTTCGAGTTGCCGTAAGACCAACTCACATAGAATCGCCGAAGTGGGACTACCCATCAGTATGCCTCTTCCCTGCAAATATAATTCGTTCTCAAACTCAAAAAACGATGTATAGCACACTAGGTGTGCAAGTTCTAGTATTTGATTGTGATGATGTGTCACATTTTCAACATTGGCAAATAAAAAATCTTTTAATGCGCAGAAGCAAGGAGACAATTTTATCGATGGATACATCGACTTAAAGT